GCATGGTCTGCAACTCCTGTGGAAAATCTCTGAGGACTACAAAACTAGGGGATGTTATAAAAATCTCCTCCAGGCGATCGCTCCAACACAGCAAATTAGATGTAAAATGTTTCTCACATCTCTTAACCAGCTTTGATTAAACTCAATGCAAAGCAAAGGCCAGAAGCAGCACAGCTCGCAGTTCCCAGCAAGACAAGGACAGATGTTCCTCTCCTCCTGGTTACTTCTTCCCACGCACTGAATAGCGTGACCTGGAGCTGCATCACCTGAAACTCCGCCAGCACAGACGCCAGCCTTTTCTGAACATGGCTGTCTGTGGAACCACCCCAGGGGACAAAGTTCCTACTGCTTCTGTGCATGCAAAGTTATACTGACTGACCACAGATGTAGTACTTACAAACAGGAGTTGTTGCATTTTTCCTCTTTAAATACTGTTTTTCACCCCTTATCAGCCAGTCCCAATACCCTCAATCTTTGTTTGACTAGCTCCTCTGTGTTTGCTTTCTCTTCTCCTGCTTTCTCACCTTATTCATTCACTTTCCGTGTAATGACAGATGTGGCTTTAAAGTATGTCTACACTTACCACTTGCAAAGCCATACATTACAAGAGGTTTATTAGTACACTAGTGAAACATTCTAATACAGAGGTAGTCTGTAGCACCTTTGCTGATCATTTCCATACATATATATATATACACACATATACAAACATACACACAGGTGTGCATATGTATGCACACACACACACATATCAACTTCAGCTGATAACTATGGTAAGAGTTGAAGGTGCTAGCACAGGCCTGGCTTCAACTTTTATACCAAATAGAAATAAATACCTTCACTTTCACATTCTCTGTCTTCCCACACAAGGTTTTTTTTACAAGATTTAGCATTACTGCATTCAGTGTAGCTTCTTTGCTCATCCTTCCATTTAGTGTGGTCATGTGCACATTTTTTACTACACCCCACTGTGTGGTAGGAGAGACTATCAGCCCAACACACTTGTCACTGATGCCACATATTTGGTGGATCAATTTGCATTATACAAAAATCAACTGCATTTGAGATGATAAAAAGGCTACATCTGCTCCCAGCCTGTTTCCTACCTTATCTACAGAAGAACTTCCATGCATTTATTGGATTCAATAAAAGCAATACTTATTTCTGCAGAGTCCACCCCCCAATTCATGAGGTCTATGTACCTTTACCTTATATATTTACACAACATGAACCACAATTGAATCCACTTGCAGCGCTTACAATCGCAGTGGTTTTGTCGGAACTGTGCTAGTTCAGAACCATGTCATTGCTCTGCTTTCTGGTTAGACCAGGGAACTGTACAACCAGGGGGGAATTACCTGCTGCTGGTTTAATTCACTCCTTCTTGGCTTCATATTTTCCTCAGGTGGTTTATCTTACCGTGCATGTATTATGCCCTCTTTTCACCTTTCCCCTCAGCTTCTAATCCTCTTGCCTTTCTACAAAAGCCAAAAAATCTCCCTTGTCCCTCAGCCCATGAGTTGCAATCCCATATCAAAACTGAAAGTAACCAAAGCCTTTATTCCCTCCAGCACCTCTCCCTGCCCTCGCCCCCCCTCCTGCCCCAGCCACCACTTTGCCACTGGCGTGTCCCGTGCGTCACCGCAGTGAGCACCCACCACCCGGAGAGACGCTGCCAGGGTCGAGAGCAGCCTCAGCCCTGCGTCGAGCCCCTCGGCCGGGAAGCGGGCGGCAGAGCCGTGGGCTGGGTGGCAGATCCACGGCCTCGGGATTTATCGATGCCGAGCAGCACCACGACGAGCTCTGGAGAACCTGCAAGCACAGTGGTATTAAAATAGAGCAGGAAATAAAACACATACATGTGACACTTTTTTGACTAAGGAACTAGTAGGTGAGGAAAGGTTCGCTCCTTTCCAGAGCGAAGTGTTGAAGCGTCAAAGCTCTGCCACACGCAGGGCCGCACGCTCGTTCGGTGACCGTCACAGGCTACACGGGCCGCGGGGACGGAGCCGGCCCTCAGGGCCCCCTCCAGGGAACGGGGTACTGGGACTAGCACAGGTCTGGAGAAGCTGGGCAGCAGGACTCGAAGCATCTCTGAAGACCCCCACGCAGAGCCTAAAGGCAGGGAGGGAGGGAGGGAAGGAAGGAGAGCCGAGCCGAGCCGAGCGCGGTGCGGTTCTCCGGGCGTTCAGCTGCTGGGCCCGGAGCATCGCATCGCTGCGGGGCGCGGGATGGAGCTGGGGCGGCTGGAGTACCTGCAGGCCCTCGTCACCGAGTTCCAGGCGACCGAGAGCGCAGGTAACCCCCGGGGCACCGCTGCTCGCCACCGCTCCTCGTGCCGGGCGCGTTCCCTCACGGACGCGACGCTTCTCCCTCGCAGAGGCCAAGGAGCAGGTCCTGGCCAACCTGGCCAACTTCGCCTACGACCCCAGAAACTACGAGTACCTGCGGCAGCTCCAGGTGCCGGACCTGTTCCTTGACACGCTCGCCGAAGAGAACGAGACCCTGGTGGAGTTTGCGGTTGGTAAGGCCACGCTGGTAAGGGGCCGACGGGCTGGGGGACACCGGGCCTGACCCCCACACCAGGCCGGGAAAGCTTGGGCTGGTGGAGAGGGAGAGGAGTGGGGCGAGAGGTAGGAGACAGCCATCCCCCTGTCATCGGAATAGAGCTGCTCTGCTTGAGAACGATGCTTTCTGGAAAGGATTTGGTTTTTTTAAAGACTAAGTAAACACTAGGTGAATGGCTTTAACAAAATCTTTCCTACAGAGAAGCAGTCATTAATACATAAATTTTCTCACATATAATGTACAGGTCCAATGTTATTCTACTACTGACAGCCAAATTTCTAGAATGCTTACTTGAAATTTTTTAACAAGTCCCCTGAGGAACTGCCTTATAATGATTCGTCATGGTCTGAACCTAACCCAAGGGTCAGATCCCAATTGTGATTCCATGAGATGATAATAATTATATTTGATTTTTAAGGTTTGTGGCTGAGCTACATCAAGATACGGCTGCATCATAAAGCTTCGAGTTCAAACATTCTGTGCCTCTTGGCTAGTGCTGTTAGCTCCATTCTCTGTTTTTCTAAAACACCTCCAATAAACGGCTGGCTTGTGGCCTCTGTTAGGGTCAAGCGATACTGGAATTCTTCGCTCTGTGGAAGAGGTTATGTCCACCATTGCCCTCTAATGACATACAGGAGGAGGAGTGTTGTGGTGGAAAAATCTCTGGAAAGAACCAAGAAAACATTGCCCAGGAAGCCGTTAAGAATTTTCCATCCAAATCGCACAGAAAATCTGGATGCTTATTTCTGTATTAGGAAAAAAAGGAGCAGCAGTGAATGTGAATCTCAGGATGAAAAAGATGAGGGTGTGAAGAGTTTGTCTTGCACTTGTCAGACATTTTCTTTTGCTGTTTCAGGCGGTCTTTGTAACCTGTGCCTGGATAAAGCTAACAAAGACTACATCTTGGAGGCAAATGGGGTAGAGCCCGTAATCAACTGCCTCTCCAGCTCCAACGAGGAGACGGTCATGTCGGCAGTCACGACGCTGATGTACCTGACGACGACGCAGTCGCGCCAGCAGACCACGGCTCTCCCCGTGGTGGAGTGCATGCTTCGCTTCTCTCTCTCAGCCAACAGAAGGCTAAGCAACCTGGCAACCGTCTTCCTGGAGGATTACTGCACACCGCTGCAAGTGGAAGAGGCCAGGAACCTGAGCAAACACACAGCGGTGGGGATTCCTCTCCCCAAGGACTGAAGCTGCCAGAGCAGCGCAGAGCTCTTGAGAGGGAGACCTCCATTTTCCCACACCTCTACTTTCTGCTCAGCAGGTCAAGAGGGAACATTAAAGAGGGAAATTGGTCATAGCAGCACTGGATTTTAGTTAATAAAGAAGATGGTACAGTACTACCATGTCAGTCAGGCCAAGCACACGGCTAAAACTGCTAGCAAATATTTAAAATAAAACAGGTCATGGCTGTTGGAGAGCTGGTTGCCAAGTGCAGCCCAGCACCCAGCTTGCACAAATAACCCCTCCCACCAATTCCATGTTTTTCTGCTTGGGTTATTGGGCAGTGTATATCCTCTCCAGTTCCTGGATGGTTTTGCTGCAGCTCTCCTCATTAGTGTCATCTCAAATGACTTTTGAAATGTCACATAAACGTTATTCCTCCTGCAGAACACAGAAGGTGTTTCCCTGCCCTGGCAGTCTGCAATCTTTGGTACTAAATACGCCATCCTATCATCATGGCATAGGCACCTGGCTAGTAAATCATTACCCAGGGCGGGCTGTAGCTATCCTATAAATCAGGAAGTGGAAAGCTGTTTTTCTTTCATTACCACTGGTGAGAAAGGTGAAGATTAAGAACAGGGCTCCTGGCAGTCTGGCTCATGAGAACAGCTGTCTTGTAAAACCTTCTCTTAATAAAACATTAGCTTAAATGCTGCGTAAACAGTTTTGTATAAGCTCACAAATATTTCTCTGCAGCACTTGCAGCCCAGCCTTCTCCCACTCTTACTCATGCACATGGGCCAGAAACTGAAGCCAGCTTGGTCTCCTTTCATTATCAGCAACCCAAAAGCCAGGGTGGCTAAATATATAAAAGGGTTTGAGCACAGTGCTCCCTGGCAGACACCCACACTGCGTCTGCTCAAGTTGCAGAGTTTTACTTCTTCCCCTTTTTTATTTCCCCCTCTGCCTCCAGTCAGCCCAAAACAAATGGGGATGAGGTTAAAAGCACATGCACACAAGGGAAAAAAACAACAAACTGCTCATATTTCAGTGTCTCTTCACCAACAGCAAACATCCAAAACAACAGTACAGAGATTAACTAACC